TCGTTCCAACGATGCGACATCTCTCGCTGTTCGTTACTTTTTTTTTTTTTTTTTTTTTTTTTTTTTGTGTTTTAATATTATACCGAATGCGCGTTCTGTGCGCGAAGGACCCATCGAGACAGAAATCGATCGTAAATACGTGCATCGTGGCTTCGCGCGCATACCGGGTGTCCCTGGAAAACGCATGAAATAACAGAGCGTGTGTGATATAACGTGGCGGAATTGTTTAATTTGCTATTAATTGTCGTTGCGCGCTCGCTATAACACATTCAAGTTTATCACGCGTTTAAACGTTACGTTGTGTTTTATTTCTTTCTCTCCACTGCCCTCCGTTGTTGAATTTAACAAGACAAGCTTAATAAATACAAAGCTGCGAAGCTCATAACGCCGAGATGTTCGCGTTATGTATTGTATAATAAAACGCGACTGATGGATTAATATTAATGGTCGTGTAATTCGTGCGACGTTATTTGGAGAGACACGGCGTACGTGTCACATGCAGTCCGGAGAAAGAGAGAGAGAGAGAGAGAGAGAGAGAGAGGGCTCATAAATTGACCTCTCTGTCAGGGTTACGGTCACAATTTTCTCTCTCCCTTCAGCCGCGGAAATTCTCATTAATCTTATTGTTCCGAGATACGAATAAAGCCAAAATAGCTCCCGTTTGAACTTTTCGTTCGTTTGTTCAAAAGATGGCCGCGCACTTACAACAAGAGCTGATAAAATAATTAGACGACGCGCGCATTGCATTTTGTTTGTTGCTTTATATAAAAATGAAAATAAAGGGTATAAAATTCGAAAAAAATATAAGGGAGCGCGACGATTCGTGATATCTGATTGTTTTAAATGATCTGGAACTTGTGTGCGTTTGTGCGAGACTCTCGGTGAATCGAGAGCTCACATTAACGTTCTATTTTTTTTTTTTTTTTTTAAATTTTTTTTTTAATTTTTTTTGTTGCCTTTAAGGAGACTGTTTAAGCGGAAGACATACACGCTCGCGCACGGCGGGCGCTCTTTATTGGCGCTCGATGCCGCTGCATCGCGGAAAAAAAGGGAATGTGGAGCGCTTATTATCCGCGGCCATCACACGCTTGGCTGCCGCTTGGCGGAACGGGACGCTCTTCGTGTGTTGCATGCGTCTAATGTGCATAGGCGAGCAGACGACGTCGGTGATGACCGCGGTCCGGCTATCGTATAAAAGCACCGGGCGACTACACTATCATAAAAAAGAGCGCGCAATATCTTATTTCAACAAATTAATCTCTACGGCCGCGTTTTTAATTTGCCTCTTCCTCCCGTGATTCCTCCCTGGGAGGGGGGGGGGGAAGGTGCCCGATGATAGAGCAGACGCGGCTAGTCGCTCTGGCGTGTCCCGGGATCGCGTATTTCCGAGGAAATCCTGCGCTACGTTCTCCCGTGTATTTTCACCCCGTCGGCAGCGGGGGAGAAACAGAGAAAATACGTTTTGCGCGGTGCAAACGGGGGGGAGAGAGAGGGGGTTCTCCGCGTCTCCGGCGTCCCCATAGACATCCCCTCTTTCCCGTCGTCGTCTGCACGTAAAAATCTGTCGGCGAACGTGGGGCGTGGTTACGTGGGAGAGAACCTTCTCTCCTCTCTCATTTCATAGCTTCTCTCTTTACCTTCCTCCTCCTCCTCCTCCTCCCTCTCTCTCTTTCTCTTTCTCACTTTGTGCATTCTTCTGTCTTTCTCTCGCGCTTCGTTTTTTCCCACGTCTCGCTTTTTCTTTCGCTCTTTTACCGCGTGTATGTCTTTTTCTTTTTTATTATCTTTTGTGTCATTGTGCCATGTCTTGCCTCTCTCCGCGATGACGAAATGACACTTCTCTCGTTCTCTCTTTACGTCGTATTTTTCTATCTTTTCTGAGTGTTTTGCTATATTTATGCAAAACATTTATTTGTCTTATAAATACGCTCCCGGAGCGTTTATATACACACACACACATACATATACTTAACAAATAAAAAAGACAAACGATAAAAGCTTGTAAAGTTTTGCTCAATTTTTTGTAATATTATTATTGCACATGTTACTTCGCGTGCTTTTTTGCACGCGCGCGTAAATATTTGACGCACCTCCGTAATTCCTTCTCTTTATGCCGCGCATCTCTGCTTTTTATGTGCTTTATCTTCTCGTTTGTAGTATTCGCTACTTGATACTTAAAAATTTTTATTATTCTTTTCTCCGTTGTCTCTTTCTCTCTCTCTCTCTCTCTCTCTCACTCTCGAGCACTATACGGCATCTCATTTTGGTTGTCTTCCTCGTCTCTGTCGTTCGTGCCGAAAATTTACGAACTCGCCCGAGAGTTACTTCGGTATAAATGGCAAAGGAGAGATCGGCCAGGCTGTGCAGAGCGAGGGCGAAAGAGCGAGAGACGAGGACATCCTACTTAAAGCGAGTACGTTTTGTCTGGTGCAACGGAGACAGAATCAAAGAATGAAGTAGACCGAGAGAGTAAGAGAGAGGGAGAAGGATGGAAAATTGGCGGAGAGAGAGAAAGCCTACGTGTGCGGCAGTGCTGTACACGTTGTACGCGATGCCTATTTGAGGTTTTTTTCTTTTTTATTGAACCGGAAAGTGCGATCAATGAAAAAGTACGAAGTACATGATTTGTTTCTTATATACAGACAATTTTTTTAACTCTTTCGCCAAATTCGCGCTTTTTCTAACTACCTCACCACATTTCGTATTAAAATTCTTTATTACTCGCGGTAATTAACAAAAAACCAACATCCGTTTTTAAACGTATTGTATTTCGCATCGGATTTAACCAAAGTTTCAATCGCTGTTCAAACTTTTTTTGTTTTGTCATCATGCGAACAGATTGTTGCGTGACGTGAATGTCAAATGTTGCGCGCTGCAAATATGACGATGATGATACAACTGATGCAGTTGTCGTCGCGTCAGCGTAATTTGAATCAGTCAACCGATACAAAAACAATAACGTAACGCAATCGCTATGATACATAACGCACATCGAGACGCAACTTTGCATATTGCGTCAAACACAAACGTACAGTATATGTCAGCGATTTGGAAAAATAGCGGCAGTTTTTTTTTCTCGCGCAAAAAAAAACATTATTCAATGTTACGTGCTATAAAAAAGAAACTGGCGTGCAATTTTTGACGCGTCACTCTACGAAAAAAATCGACACTGCAAGAAAATAGTTTTAACGGACGGTATTTTTCTCGAGACTAAATATGTGAAAATAATATCGCGATTGATATCTCGAGAGAATCGTCGTATTTTCATGAAATTACTTGAAACGCTGCTCTTCCCCCAACAATTTTCTATGTCACATTTTTGACAATCATCAGACAGTTTTTTATACGGAACGAATCCTACCCGGTTCCCCCGTGTGGCGTACGCTCCTGATCAACGTGCGAGAGAGAAAGAGGCCGGCCTCACCTACCGAGAGAACCTCCAGTCTTGTCGAGTGTTCCGTGGCGGCCGGCGAGCGTTGCGATTAATAGCGACTGCACCCGCGGAATCGCATTCCGATCTCGCGATTTCCAAGTCCGGAGTCCGCAGGATCGCTCTCTGTCGCTCTCTGTCTCTCTCTCTCTCTTTCTCTCTCTCTCTCTCTCTTTTTTCTCTTCTGAAAACGAACGATGCAGCAGATGCGCCGGGCATAAATTCCGCGCCGTCCGCGAGAAACTCACCCTCCCCCGCGCTCTGGAGGAGCGAAATGGGAACGTCATTTGTCAAATAGTGCGGAGATACGCGCGAGTTAGAAGACTGATATATATCGATCGACGTATACGTACATATCGATGGATTTTTTCCCGCGCGCGTCACGCGATCGCGCGACAAAAGTGACACCCACGCGAGTGAGTTCCGCGCTTCTCGATTTATAAAGTCGGATGCAATCACGTCTTTCCGTCTGCAGGTGACGTAATCGCGCTTGAAAAGAGGAAGCACGGTTTGTCGCGCGCCGTTGCGGAAAACGGAGCGCTCGTAGTAATTCCTATCGGCAGCCGTTATCCGGTTAACGTACAGGAACACCTACGCTCGGAATTTACGCTATTCCAGATATATTGGTATCTAGAAAGAGACAACAAGATAGATATAGAGGGAGAGAGAAAGAGAGAGAGAGAAAAAAAAGGAACTCTCGTTGGGGTTGGAAGAAGATCGTTCGAAGTGCTAGAGGAATTGTCTTCCGAGCTTAATCGCCCGGGAAGACAATCAAAACCCGTTGCAACAGGAGAGAAAGCCGTCGCTTGGAATAAACGCGCACTTCGTCGAGAGCGTTGTGTCGCGGGTTGAAGAACGTTGAGGACTTCAGCGCGGAGCAGAAATAAACCATCAGTCACGTCTCGAAACAAGAAAGAAGTTAGAAACTTGAACGTGTCAAATTGCGGTCGAAATAATTCGCAAAGTGATTTAAGTGTGTTACCCATCCACAGTCGCAAGTGACTCTGTAAAATTCCTTTCCTCGCCAAGTGGATTTTCGTCTTCTCGGAAAGAAGGCAAAGAGATAAAAACCTGTTGCCTCGTGCGAGACAGGTTTGAGGATCACGTCGGCTCTTTTACGAAGAGAGGAGTAAATATTTTCAGCTTTTTTTCAAAAAAGCTTTATCTTATCGTCGGAGAGAGACATAGAGAGAGTTTTAACGTCAAGATATCTCAACGATATCGAGGAGAACAGAGAGAGAGAGAGAGTTTTTCCGCAGATAAAATCGGCGCGCGGATGATCGAGCGCGGACTCGATCGTTCGAAACTCGTTTTCGAGACGGCGCGCATGCCGAAAGCGCAGTGACCCGCGCGCGCTTTCGCGACGATATCGACGAGAGTGTCGCACAACATTTGCAAAAGTGTCCGATAAAAAAAAAAACAAACAAACAAACAAAAGATCGAGCGATATGATACACGAGGAAATAATCGATTCGCGCGCGAATGTTGCGGCAGTTTTTCGCGCGTTTCAAACTAAAGCGATAATCGATTGAACACCGACGGGTATCTGGTGTAAAAGCCGGAACAGCGACCGCTTTTACGAGGACAGGCGCAAGTCTTGTTGGAGTGGCAACACAACTCGTCAGGGCCGAAGTATCGGCGAGCACTTCGGCGCGTATATTGGTTTGCGGTATTCGGCGCGCAGGAGAGGCGACCGCGTTTACGAGGACGTCGGAGAGTGTAGTGTGCCTACGCTCGGCGCGATAATCGGCCGCCGTTCGCTTTCACCTCCTCGGCTCGTACAGAAACGTGACGGCGGTATTCCGTAATAAATCTAATAGCGGAGTCTCTCCGCGGCGCGTATAACGGTTTTAAGTACGAATATTACGCGCCGGCGAGCAAATCGCGCGACTCCGACGCCTTGCGCAATCGCGCGTGCAGAGAAGCGTCCCCGAGAGGAATCGAAGAGGAGAAGATTAGCGGCTAAAGGGAGAAAAAGAGAGAGAGAAAGAGAATCGTGAAACGCGCGAGAGGACAGTCTCTCGACGAGAGAGTGGGTCGCCGCGGGAATTTTTAAAGAGTTTACGAGGTCCCGGACGTGGTAAGCGGTTGATTGGACGACTTCGTCGTCGTGAGTTTCGTGTGAAACGGAACGCGTGAATTAACTTGGGTCGCGCGGATTGACTGACGAACAGAGAAGCGAAGAAGAAACGAAGTGAACGGAGACCGGTGGGATCACTCTCCTGACTTGAAGCAAGATAAGATAATATATCCCGACGAGAAAGAGAGCGAGTGTTTTGTGCCGATGTGCAGCGGGACATCGTCGAGATCGTCGCGGCGCGCGATTCCGATCGATCGATCGGCCCGGCGATAAGAGGAGGCGCGACATTCCAACGGAGTATATACAACGGCGATGTCGTCGGCGTGAAGGAGAAGGCACGAAGAAGACGACGAGAGTTCGCGAGTTCCTCGCACAACGTTTGTTTCCGCGCTTCCTCATCGAGCGACGCATCGTCTCTCCTTCTCTCTCTCTCTCTCTCTCTCTCTCTCTCAGGGGAATCCCAAGAGAGCGTAAAAAGCCGGCAAGCTGGATGCTACAGACGGTGCCTCGCCCCCTCCGCCCCCGCCCGACATTACTGTCACGCAGGATGACCGGTGAGATGCTTTAAATCATCTTTATAGACCAAGCGCAAGATTACGCGCGTAGTTTTAACGAGAGAGAAGAGTCGTACAAAAAATCTCTGTTTCTCTCAAAATATAATTCTCTCTTATATAAGATTTTTCAAAAGAGCGCGAAACAAATGCAGCACCGTTTTTTGTTTTTTTCTATGTTTATATAATAGTTTGCAAGACAACCCTCTCTCACGTAACATCTCGGTTACGTCGTTGTGTATGAAAACCGTGTGTCAAACAAAACTCTTTGAAATGATGACATACATAACCAAATGCGTTCGGTGAAATAAATCGGCGCAATATGAGATCTTGCGTTATAAAATAATTTTGCACAATTTTTTTACTGCGTCGTATCAAAACCGCGTTGTCGGAGTATCGTATAAAGGAGTGCGTTATTGCTTTGTTATTGTTGCTTTTAGATAATTTTTCTTTTTGCAAATTCTACGAAGATTACGAAGACAAAACTCTTCTTTGGGGTTCGTTGGATAAACTTCTGTGTTACAATTAATTTCTTGGAAGTGCGTTCGGCGTGTTTTACATGAATTATTCGCGGCAGGCTGTCGGCTGATTACGCCAATCAGAATTTGATCAGCGGTCTAGAAACGCATAGACACGGAATTTTGGTGAACAATTTGACGAGCTCGTCTGCCAAGCGGTTTCGAACCGCGCAGAACAGTCCCAAATGATGGGATAACAATTTATAGGATTCGGTCCGGCAATATATATACCGGTTTATCGATTGGGATTGGCTTTCGGGACGGGTACTATTTCGTGACTGTCACGCGTGCGTGCACGTGACACGAAATCGTCAATATCCCCGCGTCACGTTTCGCTTCCCTCTCGGCAAACAGCGAGTGTATCGCGTTACGCGATGGAGTTTGTTGCACGATAGAATATAGCACGTGTAGATCGGAAATCACGTTTGGCGGCTCGAGATGAATCTTTAAACTTGAAACGCGAAGTAATGTCACACACACACACACACACACATGTGTATTTGTTCCTTCCCTTCCCCCCGAGCTGCGCCGTTACAACGAAACAAACTTATAAAAGTATGTTTGTAGTATGGCTTTCTCTCTTTCTCTTTTTTTCTCTTTCTCTTCCTCTTTCTGTCTCTCTGCCTATCTATTTAATATCTCACGACATCTGACGTTTTTCGTCGCGCGAAAGTGGCACGAGGACCAAGTTGAAATTCGATAACATGAATATCTACTTATCTCACACCCTCTTTATTTTTCAACGTGACATTTTCTTTCTTCGTCGCAAAATAGAAGCATCTTATATATTATACACACACACGCGCGCATATATTAAAAAGGTTTCTGTATTTTTATAAGCAGTTATCCCGACGTGATATCACGCGGAAAATAACACACCTCCGGTTGACGTTGTTGTTGTTGTTGTTTTTTTTTTATTTTTTTTAAATATTTTTCTCGCTTTCCCGCGCGGTTCTCTCTCTCTCTTTCTCTCTTTCGTTAATCTTTGCAAAATTAATTTATTGGTTTTTCATCGCCCGAGCGAGTACGTGCGCGTTTTAATTTCGACACGAGGGAGAAGTGTACGCGAGAAGTGTACGTCATCTTAAACGAAAGATGTGGTACTCGATTTGACAATGTTAATTTGACGCATTTTCCGTCTAAGCTCGCGAGCAGTTCGACTAATTGTTAGTTCTCACGAAACAATTAGCCGACGTGTACAATAGTTATTGTCGTCGTTGCGACGACATTGTCGTAATAATTGACGTTACGTCGGATACGATCTTCTATTGTCACCGAAGTTCTCTTTCCCTATTTCGCTTCGTCAGTGACTGATAACTCGGCTCGGCGAGGTCGATTTGAATACAGAGTGTACTATATTTAATAGAGTTCCCTCGATTCTCTCGCATGATTAATAAACTCCCAACGCTCCCGCTTCCTCTTTCAACATTTTCGTCGAAGTCGAAATTCCAAATTTGCCACAGAATCGATATTTATTTAAATGTCGATGTATCATCCAGGTCATACTCTGCAAACCTTTAGCAACATTTTATTTTTACGTTAAATATAGAACCACTTCTCTCTTTTGGCTTCGTAAAAATTATTTGTGAAAATCGTCAAACCAAATCGATAGAACGATGGCGTTTCGAGATCGTTGTATCATGTGTGTGTGTGTGTGTGTGTGTGTTTTTTTTTGTTTTTATTTTGAAGTTACTGTTAGCTCGTTCGTTTAATAGTCCAATCACTATGCATGGGCTGCGAGGCCTCGGCAACGTCAGCGTTTCTATCGACCGACTTCCAATCTCAGCCGCGCGCTCGGTTCGGGCTTGGTACGAACGCCGCGCAAAGTCGATAACTCGGACTATGATCTTTATATCGAAAAAAAATAACAGGGTCCACCGATCTAATAATAACGCGAGCTTTATTGCTCATGCCACACGAGAGAAGAGGGTTCGTGGACACGTAGATGCGGACATACTCTCCCTCCCTCGTTGTCGAAGACTACCCTGTTTATATTAGTGCGCCACGTGAGACGTTTCCACACCCTATCGACCTTACCAAATTAAAATGCCCTCTTCTCAGAGTTTCAGGTTTCGCAAATTACAGACGTGACGAGTAATAAGTTCGTAGTAATAAAGATCCGCGAGAGAATTTGCGATTTTTTATTGGTATAAAGTCTCGGTGTTTTTCATCAACCGAATTTTAATTCACGAAGATGAAGTTGAGATTAAGATAATCGATTAATTTTGCGAATCTGTGTGTATTATCACTTTTTGAGTTGAATTAAAATCCGTAGTCGAATATGTTCGTTAAATATTAATTATTGCGATAAATAATAATAATAATAATAAATAATTAATAAGGATAGCATAAAATATCTAATTAATAGGTGTTAAATTTATTGTTAATTATCAATAATTTATATGAATGACTCACACGTGAATATCGTCAACGCTTGTGTTGACGATATTCGCTACAAGAAGTTTAGAGCGAACGCTTTGTCTAAATCGTAATCTTCCTGGAAATTTTCAAAACTTTCTAATCTATTCCTAGATCGGAATGTTAATGCGCTTACGCTGCAATTTTGCCAGGAAGCCATTACGAGAATATTTTCGCTGTACGCTCGAGAAAATTACATCCATACTTCAATTACAAACAAATGTGCAGAAGTAATGAATAACAGAATAACGCGAAAAAAACAAAAAAAAAAACAAAAAAAAACTGTTTTAACAGCTATCTCACAACTGCGAGAGACAAACAAAAAAAAACAATTTTAATAATCACTTGCTTCCGTATCAAATGTCCCGTTGAATTAATTGCTGTAATTTATTGCTGCCGATATTATCGATCACACATGCGATATTTATATATACACGCGGTCACCGCTCGAGATTTGAGTGACGTTTCGCGAACTGGTACGAACGAGAGACGCGCATCGGTATCGCGTTGATATTTTATTGCGAAACACGCACAAGCATTGTGATGATTCGCGTGTCTCGCACAATCATCGCAAAGAAATAATACACGACACGCGCGTCATTTACTCCCCCCGTTTTTTCGTTCCGGAAAAATCGTATATACCACGACGATTAAACCGGTAACGGTTGTTCGCGTGACGGCGACACACATAGGAAAGAAGAGGGAATATATTGCGCGTTCAAACTAAACGCGCGCGCAAATTACAGATTGAGAGCAATATCGAAGCCGCGTCGCGAACGACTGTTTTCTGCGGAACACACTTGGCAATTTTCCGTGAAATCGATTCTAATAGTCACATTGCAGAAATGCAATACCTGCATAAACGGAGATAACGGAACGCACCTGTAACCCGTATCTGAGAATCGTTAAAAACGCCGTTGTGTAAAAGCTGGCTTCGACTCGTACGGCAGAGAAATTGAAGTCAAACATTTCAACGAAGAATGTAATTTAAAATACGTATATAATATTAATTATTATATGCATATTTTAATTATATAATAACAATAATAATAATTTTACGTATATTACAGCTGTCTTCGAGACTTCTCAATTAATCGATGCGTTCGCGTGATTTGTGGAATATTGAGAACCAGGATGGATAACGTGATGATTGATAATACCGGATGTTCATTACGTTCTCGATAATCTCGCTCGCCGATCTCACACCCTCTCTAATACTACAACCACGTGCTTGTGTGACACGCGACACGTGCCGTTGCAGCTTCGGATCCTCGACGCACATTATGTACGTCTCGTTTCTACTCGAAACACTACGACGTCGGATTAAGCCGAGGCGCATACACATACATATGTGGGAAACGCACGCGTGCGGTTCCGTCGCGTTTTTATAGGCAATTGTTGTCCAACCCTCCGCGGAAATTCTTTCTCGTCGACGTCCGAGGATCGTCCGAGAGCCCGAATGAAATGTTTACGCACGCTTATATATATATATATATATAGCGCGTATTATAGAGCACCCTTGGCGAAACTCTTTTCTTCGAGTATGTTGAGAACACTCGCGCGCGATCACGACAATGGCGATCCGGATTTATTATTGTTCGTCGAATTGCTTTCTCGATGTTTTTTGTCGGGTTAAATCCCTCGGAGAGCCAATACTTCGCAACGTATATTAGAGCTCTCGATCCGCATTGTTCTTTTGTTTAGATTGTGCCATATTTTTTTTGTGTTTTCTATTTCGAGAAGAGAATACGCACCATTCTCTTTCACGAAACACGATAATTGTTTGCGTGTAAAATGCGCGCGCACGCGCGCGCGAACAATTTGTCACAATGAAGAAAAGAATAAAGAGATTTTATTCGACACACACTCGAAGCGCGCTCGCGATAATAGTTTTTGCGATATATCATTAGACTCTTATCGCTGCCGCTTTGGACAACTGCTTAAGAACAAAGAGTTTTTCCCTGAGTTTTTCATGCGTTGCATTCCGTCGAGAGACGAAACACGATGTTTCTCTCGACGTAAGTGCGATCGATAGTGCGGTGCCGCTCCCTTTGGGAAAAGGAGCGACGCGAGTTTCCTCCGGACTCGTTTTCCGCGTCCGATGCGCGCACACACACACACACACACACACACAAACACACACACAGGGTGTCGAGAAAATCTTGATGGGAGAGAAGGATTTCAATCTCTGCTGCATTGGAATTCTTGTGCCGCGCGTCTTTAAAGCCGAGCGTTGCAAAAAAATTGCTCAAAGTTACGTACGTTACAAAAAAAAAACTAGACTTCACATTTAACAATTTTGTCTTTAGTAAATTTTCTCAAGTTTCGAAACGTGTGTTTCTTTCAAAACAAAAAAAGAAGAAAAAAACTAATCATCTTGTTAATAACTTGCGCGCAGCAAAATCAATTTTTAATCAAATGCGGTAATTGAGTTTTAATTAAAGTTTTGATGTTTTTTTGTTGTTTGTTTTTCAACATTGATATTTATTAGAGATATCTTGTTACCGTGAAAAAATCGCACGCAAAAGTTTTTCTCAATTTGCGCTGAACGCGGCAGAAAACGAGCCACGAACGAAGTTCGGTAAAACGCGTAGAAACGAAAAGTTTTGTAATATACGGTGTTTTGTAATATACAATATATATATATATATATATGTCCGAGAGAATATTTCTCTCTTCTCGCACGCGTAGCGTCGCCCATTGCCGCGTGTTTTTTTCGAGAGAATTTTCCTTTCCAAGGAAATGCGATCGCTCGAGGATCGAGGAAAACT